GATCGGTCCATCTCTAGTATGGATTTGGAGGTACTCTATATGACACACTGCAGTTCATCGTTGAACATTACGGGAGTCATTTTGATAGAACGTAATAATGTGGTAATTTCACAGTTATTACCACTCATTTACCAGGGTAGTTTCTGTGTTATAAACAGGAAACAGAGCAAATGCAAAACTGCCCGTTTCTATTTAATAACATGTTAATAACATATTAATAACATATTAATAACCAGGTAAAAACCCTTGAAAACAAACTTAAAGAATAGTAATGACTACCAGGAAACGCCTGTGGCAGTTTATGTGTAATAAGCAGCAGTTTAATACTATGGCCATGATAGCTGATTAAAACAAGCATCAGAAAATCTGTAATGAACTGGAAACACTTATGCAAAATGTCAATAATTAAGTTTAAAAGGGTAACCCTTTAACTGAGAAGTATAAACTGTATATTTACAGTTTTCAGTAATAACAGAGGATGAGTGCATGCAAGAATCAAGAATCATGGGTCATTTCTAAGTGCAGCAGCATTGCTGGGGCTCTGTGTTTCACCTTCATGCGACACTCCTTGAGCAACCCCTCCACAAACTTCCAGTTGGTCTGGGCGATCACGGCAGGCGACAGGTCGGAGAGTTTCGGCTGCCGCAGATTCTTCCCGAGGCTGCGGGCCTCCTGCATGTACTTCTGAAGTGCAGACGAAGATATTTAGTGAGATTTAAATAACAGGCACTGAACGTGTCATTCTTTTGGATGAATGTTTGCAGTTAACACATATCAGAGGTTGAGGTGAGCATCTCACAAACACGTGCCTTCCTTATACACTGTTAATAACCTGTTCTAGTAGTTCTGTGACTGTTAATGGTGATTTTGTTCATGTGAGACACTTCAAGGAACTTAAGTGAGTTAAGCTAAAGGGTGTGACACAGGAGGCGAGTAAAAATCGGAGGAATCCTTAAAGAAAGGAAAGTATCACTCAGTCTGGAGCATGGCATACCAAATTCAAAATGTTTCCTATATTGAGCTCTGAGTGCTTCGCAGAGAAATCCATGCTCTTACATCACAGAAGATCTCCCACTGCTGCTGTTTCACATTTAAAGTGTTCAAAACAGAACAGGACATGGAAATAGCTGCAAACACTGTCAATGATGTATTTGATGTCTTTTTTTTTTTTTT